TTTTTTTTTTTTTTTTTCTTCGTATGTAGGTGCCACTGTTATCATTATGAATTGATTTGGCTAGTTACATGAAAAAGAATAAGAAACCGATATAGCTACTTTCATATTTCTGCAAGCTAATAATGGCTAAGATGATGGTGGCGGTGATTTCAGCAGTCTGCTTGGTACCAGCAGATATTTGCTGAATTTTTCTAATATTCGGGTCGTAGTGTCTTCTTACTTAAATATTTTAGTTATCCGTTTCCGTCAACGGATATTATAAAAAAAAATTTTTTTTTTTAGAGAGGAAATAGAAAATTATTTTTTAAAATATTATTTAAAGGATTTAATAATTGGTCATTTTTTATATAAAATTTAATAATGGGACCTAAAGCTGGATAAGTTGTTGTCGTTCTCATTGGCATTTGGACTAGTCTTTAGTAAACAATTTATTTCATTTTGTTACTTTTCTGCATTTATTTATCTGTTTTTGCTTTTTAAATCAACCGGTATGTATAATAGATTACGTATAATAGATGAAAAAAATTTTTGATTTTCTCGCCTCTTTTGTTTAAAATGCATCAGGAGTTTGGCTCATTAGATACTTTGTTTTTCAAATTGAAATATTTCTTCAGAACTGTTGAAAGAAGTAATTAAGAGTAATTAATGAGTGAGTAATTAACTAGTCAATGCGAACGTCTTCAGCAATCTTTAATCAATGAAAAGTTTAAGGCCAATTTGAGCGATCAGTTATCAATACAATCAGTTTTTGTTTTAAACTGGGAGTGTTGCGACAGAGTGTATCAAATGTGCTAATATATTTTTGAAAACTTTTTAAGCTTTGGTAAACCACAACAATGTGTGGAGAACTAGAACGGATTGATTTTTCATAATCTTCGAGTGTTACTGCTTTTAAATTTCTAGTTTACGTACTATGCGTAGATAGACTTTTGAAAAGAAGAAATCTCCCTCATTTTTTTCACTGCCAGTTATGATGAGGAAAACGCATTTTAATTATACGTATACAGTCGTCTTCAACTCCAATTTGGTGTGAAATTTTTTGCTAACGAAATCTCTAAAATATGGCCAAATTTTAGCAGATTTGGTGCAATGCCACTGTGTAATATGGAGGAATCTGGAAATGATTCGGATGAACTCCATAAAAGTAGGTTAAACTTTCAAGTGACTTGCGTAAATGATGTTGCAGCTTTTGTACTTATTTGTTAAGATGTTATCTGTCTGTGTTTACAATTAATTTCCATTTTCAGCTGAGATTTTAGCCAAAATATGAGAATAAAAAGAATTTATTACACATACTTTTTAACAGTTTTACTGCAATAACTTTGTTAAATGTCCATCTACCTTAGTTATTTTTTCTGTTTACTGTAACTTACATTCAAAGTGCTTTGAGAAAATATAAAAAGGAGAAAAATTTGATCTGTAAAAGTCGAGGAAGGCGACCATGAAATGGCACGATAAAAAAAATGCAGTTGCTTAGCAGCTAAGAAAACTTCAAAA